TACCATACAAGACACAAATTATGTATTTTTCTTCACCCATCAGTGTATTTTTGTTTGGAGGATTTGATTTTTTTAAATTATCCATCAGTCTTTATATTTTTCCTGCGTAATAAGTTATTCATGTGTCTATACAGGGTGAGTATTGTTAAAATGGGACACTTTCTGAAAGTTTGCTTTCTGGAAAAATATACTGGATCACCTCAAAGTCTTGAATACCAACTTGATACCATTCTAAATACATTAATGCCCACTGAACAGTACATAGAAGAGTAAATAAAGTATTAAACACATATATTGACTGTCCCATTATAATATATACTGTGTGTGTGTGTGTGTGTGTGTGTGTGTAGGGGGGGCATGGTGGTGCAGTGGTTAGCACTGTTGCCTCACACCTCTGCCCGGGTTCCATGTGTGTGGAGTTTGCATGTTCTCCCCGTGTCGTCGTGGGGTTTCTTTTGAGTACTCCACCCCCCTCCCACCCCACAATCAAAAAACAAGCTGAGGCTAATTGGAAATGCCAAATTGCCCATAGGTGTGCTTGTGTGAGTGAGTGGCAGGATAAGCTTTGCCCCCCCCCCCCACAACCATGAGTATGATAAGCAGTTTCGGAAAATATATATACAGTGGTACCTCAGTTCTAGAACTCGAATTTCTTGAAAGTTGAACAAACCAGTTTGACCTAGAACTCAATCTGAATATCAGAAGTTGAAACGTGAACGCTGACCTAATATAAATTGTAAGCGCCAGGAAATGAGTCATACTACAATGCAATTCTTACTTGAATGCCTTCTTCACAGACTGGACGATTAACCAAATAAAGCAGCGCAACATTACAGTAACTAACAATAAATAAACCACTAACTTACGTGTACTGTTAGAGCATTTATGTCATTTATTTAAACTTTATTTTACCAGGTAAATTAACTGAAAACCAGGTCTCACTGCTTTACGTGATATTCGGGAGAAATAGCAGATTGCGCATCGGAACTGCCTGGGATACAAACGTCATGCGTGTAACTAAACTCTTCAGCCAATAAGGGCAAAGGTGTGTCGTCACGGAGGCGGTTCCAGTTTGTGCAGCCGGGTGAGAGATCGCAATGTATCTAACCATAATGCATTGCGTCAGGATCAGAATGCGTTGCTTTAAGCCAGCGCTGTAAGCAAGTCGGATGCACCCAATGACCGGACTGGGGAAACAAACTGAAACGCGGACTTTATACAGAGGACTAATGACAACAACCAGAAACAGCTGATCACAATGGGATCCCACACGAGGTTAACAAGGGGGCGTGGCACACGGAAGGAGCGGACAATCGGGGCAGGACAGGGGTAATGTTGGGATAAGATCTTTATCGTTTTGGAAGCCATTAAGAAAAAAATGCTCTTGTTTTATCCTGTTCATTTTGTGTTTAAATGCTAAAAAAAAAAAAAAAAAAAAACCTATTTAGGTGTAATTTTCGGGGGCCGGGAACCAATTAATTGGTTTTCCATTATTTCTTATGGGAAAAATTTTATCAGAACTTGAACTTTTTAGGATTCGATCCGGAGTCCGGAACGGATTAAGTTAGAGAACCGAGGTACCACTGTATATAAAATGTATGGAAATGACATTATTGTTTACTGGCCCCTGACAGTCCCTCAAGAAAAGATAATCATCACACCCATTATGACTGGAACCCAGAGCCCGCTGCCATGCTGCCACTCCATGTGGGTGGGGGGGACTGGCTCAGGGGACAGGGCAGCTGGAGGTCTCCGGACAGCATTCCCATGGTTCCACTCTCCAGCCAGTATGGAAACAGAGCATGGCAGCTTAACCACGGTATGCTGACAGAAAGGTCACCATTTAAAAGACGGCTGTTCCCAAATGAACTATTTGACTATGTTTACGATGTTTGCCCACAGCGTTGGTTAGCATAGCTGCCTTCCCAGCACTTAGCCCATGTTAAATTCCCGGCCAGTGCAGTTGGGCTTATGTTGCTCTGAAATGCTGATTACATATCTTCTGGTTTTTCTCGATAGAGCCAGACAACAGTCAGATACGAATTAATTTGCCGAAGGATTCCAGTACATTCCGCCATGAAGAGCAGCCCCCAGGGACACTGCGAATGGGTAAGACTGTAAAGTCTATAAGAAAGATGTTACAAAGCAGAACAGCTCTAATGCTAAACACTACCAATCATTAAGAGACTGATGGGCACAGTGATTATATGGTTACCACCATGACCTTACACTTGCAGAATTATGGGTTTGGTTCTCATCCCTGTATAGTGTGCCATTCAGTTCAAGTAAAAAGGTGTCTCTAAATCGCTTAGAGTGTGCGACTGAGTGACTGCAGTCCCTGTGAGACACTGGTATCCAGTTCAGGGTGTCCCCGCCTTGAGCTTTGTGCTTCCTAGCATAAGCTCAGCGTGACCTTTATTTGGATAATAAACCTTTATTTGGATAATTTAAGTGGGAATGGATGATCAATTAGTCAAATTCTAGGTCAATGCGTAAAACCTGAGTAAGAGCATATTATACTACTCAGAGATAGAGATAATCGTGCTAGGTCACATTTAGCATAATACAATGCACCCAGAGTCCTGAAAAATCATACCTGTTTTACAGGTGAGTCTCAAACCTTTGTTCTGGGTAAACATGTGTAGAACTCAATGAGTTGAGATTATTCAGGACTTCCTGCCTGGATTCCTGCAGTGGAGAACCTTCTTCTGCCTGCTGCATAGACCACAGTGTCGCCCTTAGTCTGGGGTCTTAATTACAGTCATGCAAACAATGACATGCACACAGGCTTGACTGAATACTAGTAAAAGGAAATGTCCAGTTTATGTGTGCAGAACACAAGTTATGAGCCAAAGGTGTCAAGACACTTAAATGTTTTCTGTCTGCCGTGCTTCCTGGAGTCTTTTACGGTTTCACAAGCCAATTAGAGCCACACTGTGTCTAACACCTGGGCTAAGTGGAAATAAGAGGCTGAGCTCCCAGCTGGTTTGGTTATTTGCCGGTAAAGTCTGACCTGCTGTTTGTGTTTCACTTTATTATTATAAGCATGTTGTAGGTTCAGTAGCTCTGAAGAATAATGGACCTTGACTTGAAGTTAGTCATTATCTTCAAAAAAAGCTTCCTACCTCAGACTGGGGACAAAGGGCAACTACTGCTAGACTCACAAACGAGAGAACAGGCAGGGTTCAGACGGGAAATAGTTCATGTCTGCTGCCATCTGCCTAATGGGTCCTTATGGTTAACTGGAGATAAGGCAGCTGGGAGGTAGGACAGGGTGGAATGTTACCTATAAGGAAAAATGGTTTTTGTTTATTTTTGTACGTCACAAAACAGTTTCTCGGGTCTTATCTTGTGAGTAAACTTTGATTTGAAATTTAATATTTAAAGGCTATTTTATTACATTTTTTCCTGATAGAAGGTAATAAGTTAACTCATTTTTATGATATATTATCTCTCCCCATCTCTGTCTAACTTTTCCTGGATAAAAGTCCCATGAGACATTTTCTCTGGGCACTGTTCCTCTTTATATGTTCCAGCAAATGGTCGGATGAGTTTCCTGTAGGGGAATCACCTAATTTGCTTATACGCATATTCTTTATAATTTGACATATATACTAATATTGTGATAACCAGGGAATCACGAGTCGGGCAGACAATGATCCAAAATACGGGGTTTTAATGGGGATAGAACGGACTATACGGGAAAACACGGTACAATGACGGATCTGGGCAAACTGACTTGGACGCAGACTTAAATACACAGGACTAAACAGGCAAAGCAGGAAACAGCTGGTTACAATTGGGGTTTCACGCAAGGTAAATGAGGGGGCATCACAAATATACTGTATACTTTAATTAAATACTAATAGAATATACTATATAATTTAACATCAGCTCCTTTGGTAGCCAGATGAAACAACTGCTGTACCTAGTTATACTGAGTGTGCTGCTTAGGCATTTGTTGAAATATCATTTGAACTCCATATAATTTAATTATCTGTTCAAAAATGATCAAATATAGAGAATAAGTTGTATTTTTAGAGGAGCTGCAAATGCTCAAGACAATTAAAAAGATTATTTTTCCTTTAAATCAGAGCTAAATAAGATTTTACCAACTCTGAGCTATTAGTTAAGTTCTTGTTGGGCCGAATGCTTGATGGGCCAAATGGCCTCCTCTCCTTTGTAAATTTCTTATGTTCTTAGGAGTATAGAGTAATTAATGAGTGAATTGCGTGAAAATAAACACTTCATTATGTACACCTACGCAGAACTGTTTCCTGGGTAGATGAGTTGTGTGTTCAGAGAAGCCTGGTCGCGTTAATGAGTCTGGCCGCTCTCCGCTGACCTCTCTCATTAACAAGGTGTTTTCAGCTGCAGAACTCCTGCTGCCCAGATGTTTTTTGTCCATCGCACCATTCTCTGTAAACCCTAGACACTGCAGTGTTCCAAAATCCCAGCTAGGTGGATATTTCTGAGATACTGGAGCCACCACTTCTGGCACCAACAATCACTCCACATTCGGAATCGCTCGAATCACACATCTTTGCCGCTTTAATGCTTAGTCATGCAAGCACTGAACCTCTTGTCTTTTGCCCAGGTGTCACATCAATGCGACGGAGAGGAACACTGAAGACAGGTCTACTGCCAGGTGGTAATGTAGCTCTGGAGAAGATTGGCCTGACCGAAGAAGACGTCAGGGATGAGATCATGAGCGGTGAGATGTGTGAGAGCAAAGGGGAGTTTAGATGGGGTTAAAGTGTAAATTATCCTTCTCAAACGCATACAACATTTAATTGCTAAAGAAAAAGGCCGCTGAATTCATGTAAACACAGATATTAACCAATGAACTGAAAACGTATCTCAGAAAAAAAAACCTTTTCTGGACTTTTTCTAGATCCCTAACTTGCTAGATACTTTCTGTTTTCAACAGAGGAGCAGGACCTGGTGAAAGAGCTGGTGACCATGTCAACGAGGGAATGTATCCAGGCCATCCGAGACCTACCCATGTGCATGGAAGACAAGAAAAATATCCGGTAAGCCAGGCTTTGTCCATGGTCAGCTGCTGGTTTTTATACAGTTAACACTAAACATATTAATATGTACTGGTGAAGTAACTTGCCAGGTTTTATAAATCGGATGTTAAGCTACCCTCCCTCCCTTTATAGTTCCGTAAATGCATATGTCTGTACCGTTTACAGTGTTTGCAGTAACAATGGGTGTGATGGGCCATATCTGTCCTTCTTTACTTAGGAACCAAGTACTGGCATCAAAGTCTTCTAAGAAGGGCTTCTTGCTCACCTGTTCTGCGGACTGTTCTGAGCAGATTTCTTTGGTGAGACTGAAAATATTTGTTTTAAATTAACTCCCCAAGGGTTCTATTAAGACCATATTCATATTCAAGATTGCATAATTTATTGAGTGTAAGAATGCTGCAGGCATCCATTGATATACAGTGAATTTACAGAGAGAGTGACTTACTGCTTTTAATGCTTAAGATGACATCCAAGTCAACCTTGCACAAAGTTCCTCCAGGTCCCAGAGGCACCTCCCCCGCTTCCTGCACACCCTCCTCCATCGGACACGCCTCTCAGTCTCTCCGCAGGTGTGGCGTTGGCTTGTCGTCGGCCAGGCAGGCCGTGCGGCTGTGGCAGGGCACCATGAAGGAGATCGGGGGCCGTTTTGGCACCAGCGTCCTGTCGTACTTCAGCTTCCTGAAGTGGCTGCTCATGTTCAACACCATCTCCTTCCTGGTCAACTTCGGCTTCATCACCATCCCGCAGCTGGTGCAAACCTCAGGGCGGAGCCCTGATGTACGCTTCACAGGGCTGGAACTGATCACCGGTGCTGTAAGTTTTATGTACGTTTTATACTTCCTGTATTTATTTTTGTGATCACCTTGAACGGTCACACTGCCAAACATGGCCTTGAAGTCACCTATATAAATAGGAATCATTAGCCATTTTTTAATCGTTTCTGGCAATTATGATTAAAAATTTTGGTCAAATACATCAGTAAACAACAACCAGTGAATGTGCTACTTCGGCTCTCCACAGGGGTATTTCAATCAGACAGTAATGTACTACGGTGGCTACATAAATGGGACGAAGGACAGTGACTTCAAGTACAACATGCAGCTGGCCTACTTCTTCACCATCGCAGCCTACCTGGTCTTATGTGGAGTGTCTCTTATCTACAGGTTAGTGGACTGGAGCAGGACCAAGAATTCCCATCTCTTTAGCAAGGAATTGTACTTCTCTATAACCCCTCCTCCCAACAGCAATAATAATTACGATTATTACATAAATCAAATTGTGATTTCACATCTCATTGGAAATTACAGCTTTTATCTGGACTTTAATTTCAGGGTCTCATGGCGGTGCCTTTCTGTCTGTCTGCCTTTCTGTCTGTCTGACTCTTTCTCTCTGTCTCTCTCTCTCCTCCTCACTTCCCAACGTGAAGCATGGCCAGGTCGTTCCGGAGGAACTTTGTGCTCTCGGACCTGAGCTCGGGCAGCGCCTGGCGTCTCCTGTGCAGTTGGGATTTCAGCATGGTCAATGAGAGAGCTGTACGACAGCGTAAGAATAACCTGCGGGTCCAGCTTAAGGTGATCGCTTGGCTCCGCCCCTCACGGTCAGCATTGCCGCTCCCTTTGCTGCTCACTCTCCAGACCGCTTGTCTTCCAATCCTCTTTCCTCCCAGGAGTCTCTTTCGGAAATGATGCAGACAAATTTCCTGCCTGTGTCAGAGAGGATGAAGCAGCTTGGAATCCACCTGTGCACCTGGGTGGTTTCTGCGGGGCTTGCAGCCGGCTCCTGTGCTGCCATATATTACCTATGTCAGTACAACCTCCAGGTATGTTTAGTGTAAAGGACTGAGATACACACATTTTACACGTGCAGTATATTTACATCACATACAGCGGCTCAGTGGGCAGAGTGGTGGCTGTTGTGAACCTCGATGAATGCCAGGAGTGATTCTGCTCCGCTGGGCCCTTGAGCGACGCCCTTAAGCTGCGATTGCTTCATCCTGGGTATGATGTTAATCTACATCCAGCCCTGCAAAGCAGGTCCTCCAACTTTCAGAGAAAACCTAGGGGGTTGGTGGCAGGATTGGCACTCCAGCCACCGGAATAAACTTCACTGTTTCGTTCCACTCAAACTGTGTGGTACTGAGGTATCACTCGCCGCATGGTTGTACTCGGGTTCTCATCCCTGAGGTGGTTTGTCATGTGGTTGGTTCGGCAACTCTCTGTATCTCCTTACAGCGGCTCAGGAGCTAGACCTATAGATGTTCGTAGTAGAGCTATACTTGACCACCATCCCTATCAAATCGGTGCTATCATTCTAACATTTTGGCAGTCCTTTGGTTAGTTGACTATGTGCTCTCCCTACAGCAGATCAAAGTGTCTCAAAACCCTGGAAATCTGAAGGAAGAGGCCTCTACTCTACTTCTCCCATTCGTGGTGTCCCTATTCAACCTCGTCATCCCACTCCTCTACTCACTGCTCAGCAAGGTGGAGAATTACTCCAACCCTCGCTTTCAGATCTACGTCATCATCCTCAGGTTTGGAATCGGTCCTACCAGATCCACAGCTTCTCCGCTTTCTACATAATGTCCTGTTAAAAAAGAACTAGGCAATCATTAAGCTGAAAGCCTTTCAGTGCCTTCCTTGTAGATACTCAACTCAAAGGTTCTTTATGGAAGCTACTGATGCAAAACCACCCTCCAGAAGGCACTCAAGGGATGTTTTACACAAAATGTTGCAACATATACCAGCAAACTTTTTTATGGTGCATTAGTAGTACAAAACTAAATTCTAAAATAATAAAAAGATCAAAGAGGTGATTCAAGTACACCGAGATGTTGGAGATTAAACTGGACAGACCTTAAATGGAAGAAGAAGGAAGGAACAGCCAGCTGAACAGCACTGGGATGGTATATGGAATGAGGAAGTCTGGCATTTAAAGACTGTTTAGTTAAAGGCAATGATGAAGTGTGTCAGAGTGATTCAAGATGAACTGTCCTGTGGGTTGGTGGTACACTGCTGTGACCAAGACAGTTATTTTTGATATTACAGCAGAAGAAACCTATGGACACATAAATTTGTTTAATTTGCACATATATGCAATTGAAACAAAGAATTTTTAAGTCCTGTATTTTATATAAATGTTTGCACTGTGGACAAGGTGTTTTAATAGGATTATCCTGTAACTTAGTGTCAAATTTTAACCTTTACAAGAGAACTTGTTAGGTGTTTGTAAAGTCTGAATTTTTGATACCTCTTCCTCCAGAAATGTCTTCTTAAAGATGTCTATTCTCAGCATCCTGTGCTTTCATTGGGTGAACAACGTGACTACAAATGTACCAATGGTATGAAAGTGTCAATGACTAATTTTTATCACCATATTATACGTCTAAGACCTGATATACTCTATCGGAGTTTGCATTTTGTATGGATGTGTGTAACCAGTAACACAATGCATTATTGTCAGTGTTGGGAATCTTATGTGGGACAAGACTTGTACCGGCTCGTGATCGTCAACTTCTTCTTCTCCATATTTGGCTCATTCTTCGGAGAGTTTCTGCGCAGGTCAGTCTCTCTAATGAATGCTTACTGATACAGTTACTTTTAGCTATTTTTAATGATATTCCCCAAACGAGCTTGATGGGCTGAATGGCCTCCTCTCGTTTGTAAATTTCTTATGTTCTTATGAATTCCCACATTTTATTCCATTTGCTGACTCAGAATCATCGGAACCAGGTGTATGCCAAGCATTGGGATTCCAGAGTTTGATATTGCTACAAACGTTTTAGACCTGATCTATGCACAAACCCTGACATGGTACCTTTCTTCCAACTATGCATCTGTTTGTATACACGTATACTTAATCACATTTGGTATCTTCACAATCCGTCTCTTCACATCCTCTCACATCTGTCCATTATTTTTTCTCTTCAGGATTGGCATTTACTTTTCCCCACTTCTGCCACTTATACAGATGATAAAGTTATTTCTTCTGTTCTACTTGAAGAAGGTAAGGTACTTGACTCATCCTCAAAGTGACCTTCAAAAGGAATGGGAAACATTAAGTGCAGGTGTGAAGTGCACTGCTAGGACACAAGCTCCTAGAAGCAGGACTGAAGTCCCATAAAGCAAGAAAGAAGCCCTTCATTAATGAGAAACAGAGAAGAACCAGGCTGCAGTTTGCCAAGAATATATATATTAATCACAAACACCCACAAATTGAGAAATGAGTGAAATGAAAAAATGTGTTGTGGTCTCTTAATTTTTTCCAGAGCTGAATTTCTTACTATATCGGTTAGTTCTGTAAACCTTTGTGAAATACTATGGAACTATCGAAGGATCAAGTAATGAATAACATAAGTTAAATACTGATCTCGTGTTTATTCATCATTAATGAATCGTGACACATCTATCTCAAGTAGCAACTGTACTTGTTAATGATTTGTTCATAATTTGTGCATCAGTAGTAACTGAGCGATTACATAGTATTTATGCCCCATCAAGTAAAGTATTACCAGTTTACTTTGATAATATTACCTTGATGGTGAATTTTATAGAGTGATAAATTAATCCCACTGTCATGGGTAGGAAGTTGATCCCTTTTCTAACAGTAAACAGCAGCTAAAATCCACTTGTGACGCTTCTTTCTGTTCCACTCAGGTCAGCCTAAACAGGAACTGCCAGCCCCCCCGCCGGTCCGGCCGTGCTGCCCAGATGCAGACCATCTATATCGCGCTGCTCTTCTTCCCCTCCTTTGTGGGGGCGCTGTCTTTGGTGGCGTACACAGTGTGGTGGTAAGAGAGAGCGCCAGATCACTCAGCACTTGTGACATAAGACAGCAACTTTAAAAATATCATCTTTGTACTTCTGTCCTTTTTCCCGACAGCCTGACGCCCTCAGACAGCTGCGGGCCTTTCCAGGGCCTCAACACCACCTTTGAGGCAGTGTCCCTTTGGATGGAGGACACAGCCATCATCTCAGAATTCTCTTGGGCCGTGTGGATCTACAGCCATATGATTAAGAGCGAGCTCTTCTTCTTCCTTCTTGCCCTGATCTTCCTGTGAGCACCTCCCAGTCCCTTCATTCTCACCACAATCTCCCATTCGGACTGTAGTGTCAGATTTGTAAAGCATTAAAGAACTCCTTCAGAAGACTCAATGAATAGTATGTTATTGGTTATATGTTGCTGTCTGGCTTACAAGTTGCATTGCACTAATTTTCCTCTAGGTGTCCCCTGAGGCACCCTGTGTTCAGCAGTCATTTAACAATGAACAATTAGGGGACAAATTAATCTGTGTAAAAACAAATACTCAGCTGCTGATGAAAGACATATATACTCAATATATATATATACTCAGTATATACAGTATATACTCAGTATATATACAGTATATACTCAGTATATATACAGTATATACTCAGTATATATACATATATACTTTTTTCACATTCAAAAAAGGCAAAACTTTATTGCTCCTCTGATACATATCCCTTACAGCAGTCGCAAACCAAAAAACTAACCGGAGAAGCACTTTCTTGTAAGATACACTAATAAAACTCAAAGTATAATGGCAGGCTTAACACAAAATATGCTAACCATTTACTTAAACAGAAAATACACCATTCTATATAAAATGGCGCTTACATTTCTTTTTACCTGAAAGTTTTATTTTTCATTTGCCTGGTCTGCCAGCACCTCTTCTGCCAACTTAATCTTTTAGCAGTGTACTGCAGTGTAATGTGGGCATTGAGTTTACCACATCTGACACACATAATCATTCATGACGAGTGTCAGCTGACTCACTGCTAACTGAATAGCACATCTACATTAAATAAATAGCTGTATCAAGGACAGTCATTGAACACATGTCAATATGTGAAATATCTGATACACGGTAGCTAACCTGAGATATTATCATATCAACTTCTTGTTTCCTCTCCAGGGTGCTGATATACTTTTTTTGGCAAATAACTCAAGGACGCAAAATGTTGATTATTCTTCTCAAAGAACAGATCATTAATGTAAGTTCAGTTTCATTTGTGTTATTGTGAAAATAATAGTATTAAGTACAGCACAATTAGTTAAAGCATCCATCCTTTATTGATCCATATAAACCTCTTTATTTCTCTGGTAGGAGGGCAAAGACAAAGCTTTTCTGTTAGAGAAGCTCAGGACTTTTCAGAATCTTTCCTTGGTTCCCTATCATGCAGAGAATGTGCATGGACCTCAGGTCAGTGATGTTACATTTACTTTTACCTTCACATCACAGCAATACATCAGAATAATTGCCGGGAAACTTAAAGTGATCACACGATGATGATGGGCATGGACATCTAAAGGGTAGTAAACACACATAACAAGGTATCATTTTTTATTATGAAGTCACACCACTACTGACCAATAGCTAACGATCGGCTGTTTCTCAAACAACCATCATCCTGGTTTTCAACATGTACAACTTGAAAATTGTTTTCAAATTGAGCTGTTTTTCCCCCAGTACTTTGAGAGGACATATCAGACTGAATCAGATTACAGTGAAGGTGAGTTTTCTTTACTTAATGTTTTTAACCAAAAATTAGTGTAAAAATAGTATGTCCTGTAAAACTTTTAATGATCCGTGTAGGTCAACTACTTAGCTAACGCCCCATCATCTGTGTCTAAGGCTATCAAAGAGGGGCTTGCCCTGAAGAGGACACCCCTCCTTTTGCTTCCAGTGCTCTGATGCAGGCTATGATGGCTAGACGGCAAGCGGAGGAAGAAGATGAAGAGTATTAACAGCTCCGGTTCATTATATCATCTCTCCAGTGATATTTATTAGTTTTACTTCAGTTGTAAAGCAGGGGGTCTTTCTTGAGTGGTTTGCTCTTTAAGTAACCCCATTGCTAAAGGGTGCACCAGTTCTTCTGCTGTGATTTTACTTGAAATGCTACCAGATGTCAAAAGTGTTTAGTTCTCCCCACAAACAAAAGCACTCCATTCCTAGTTGCCCAGCCTTTAAATATCATAGTAAAAAAATGAGACAATTTGATACTTTCTTCTTTTATACCTGATCTTCTTCATGATTTCAGCTGTTATCATTTAACTTCATATTCCTGGCTCCTGTCTGCTGCAAGGAGGTTCCACACTGCAAAAAAACGGCATCACATATCAGGTCTTCAGATCTGTGTAAAATGATAAGACACTCCAACCAACCTTGACAGCTGTGGACATGCAATAAATTAAGCAAGGCGTGAAGGAATAAATCCCACTCTCACTGCATTACATTCTCCTTTAAAGCTAATTAATTCAGCTGCTAGAGAAAAACAGTGGCAGCCTTAAATGGTATGTCAGACAATGAACGCTGGAGAGCATCTTGATTAAATCACTCAGTAGCCAAGTAATTATTTCCAGAAAAGATTAAAGGGTGTAAAAGATAAATTGTCTACCACAGGCATATTACTCTAATATATATTAGATAAAATTGTTTGTGCATCTGTGGTCCTGCAACCTCTGATACAAGTACTGACATATAAAACCTCAATCTTGTAGTCCAGCATAAGAAGGTCGTATTCAGCCTAGTAATGATGGAAAGATAGGTGTACCTATATTCAGAACGTGCATTGTGGCTTTAATTATGTAGATCACGTCATTGTTTCGTATTCTTATTGTAAAACACATTCTATTGACCTACCTGTACACTGATCTAAACAGTGTAGTTCTGTAAACTGTAAATATTGTAGCATTAAAATGAATAAAACGAATCTTAAGAAATTTTATGGTATTTTAGTAAATATCTAAATTATTACATTCAAGTTGCCTAACATTACAAAAAGAATTCTTTTCGTGCAAATTTAAACACAATAAAATACACATAAACAAAAATTTTGATTAATTTTACTGGCAGGCAAAAAGCTAGGGGTATGTGGGAAAACATTTCAATTAAAACATATGCTATTCAGGCAACAGCATCTGTTATCATTCGTCAGACACCAGTTTCCATAACGCGACTATGAATTAATTCGATCAAACTATTTCAAACCACGTGTAATACGCGACAATGGCAACGTCATCATTAAACATCACTTCCCATAAGCCATCGCGAATCTCTTACGACTTCCGGGGATCGGAAACAATAACAAAAATACTAGCTCGTTAAGCAGGGAGGTGCTCATACGGTGGGACCTTGTAGTGTCCTGAACGTGGCGCTATTGTGAGGGCCTCGGCGCGTGGCGAAGGCTCCCTCTAGGCACGTGCAGGATGTTGTGTGCGGCGGCAGCCGAGAGGAACAAGGAGCCCATTCTCACGGTGCTCCGGAGCTGTGTGGACCCGCACAGGAAACTCCGTGCGCTGGAGGTGTCGTCGGGCTCCGGCCAGCATGTGATGCACTTTGCTCAGGCACTGAGGAATGTCACATGGCAGCCATCCGACATAGACCAGCGGTCGATAGTCAGGTAAAGGGTGGCATAGGACACCGTGAGGCCGGAGGCAGCCGGCGGAGCCTTGAGCTGCTGACGTAACGACCAGGCTGTCAGCTAGATGCTGGAATTGTGCGATGCTCTAGTTATCACCCAGTAGTAAAGCTTTCAGTGTATCTGGTTTGGTAACGTCGTTACTTAAATTTAATTACTGAGCTAATCACAATGCGGCTTTGGAGTTATGTTTAAAATTATTATTATGATATTAAGAAAACATTTGAATCTAAGTCAGCAGGGGCATGGTTCAAAACGCCAGACTGCAACGTGTTTTTTCCTCCATATTAGTATAGAAACGTACAGAGATCTTCTGCAACTGGACAATGTGAAGCCCCCGATTCATCTGGATGCCTCCCAAGGCTGGGAGTATTGGGGTGGCATGCAGCCTGAATCGTATCACCTTATCGTCAACATCAACATGATGCACATATCCCCGCTGTGCTGCACCGAGGTGACGGCTCATCCATCCATTTTAAAAATTTTCCACGCAGCTTCAGCTCAGTTAGACCTTTGAGAAGTCAGCTCTACAAAGAATCACCGTCAGAGTGAATAACATTATTCACCTGATGTGTGATATACAAATTGGTGACCCTCTATTGGATAGTCACTGGAAGATCAGTGGCTGTTGGGATGGATATGATAAATTTTGTGTGACTGTAATTTGTTCTGGCTTTACATCTTCTCAAATTTCAATTATGCAACAATAAGTTAGTCTTAAGGAAAGCATATACTAGCACACCATTTTCAATTTTATTAACCATGAACTAAAGTTTTGTTGAGGTGCACTTATGTTTTTCCATTTTAGGGTTTGTTCAAAGCTGCTGGGAAGATTCTGAAACCACATGGCTTACTCATCACATATGGGGTACACTTATCTGTGCTCATGGTCATTTTACCTTGGCTCCTTACGCAAAACATAATAATTATGTGAATAATTTCTTTATTACCCATAACTACTGTTCTGCAAAAGGCATTCTAGTTTAATTGTTAACCAATTCTACATCCAACAACCCTATACAAGCAAATGGCTGGATGGGTTTAACCATTTCTGTGCTTTTTCCCCATCCAGCCTTACGCCGTGAACGGACTGATCACTCCAGAAAGCAATGTCCAATTTGATCAGAGTCTGAAGCAGAGGTAAAGAGATGCTCGCTCAGGTGATCCTAGTGAATGCTAATTGTCTGCATTCATAGTAGCTTAGATGGTAGCATTTTGTTTTTTGTGCCCTTAGGAACATCGAGTGGGGTCTGAGGGACATCTCCTTGTTGAGTTCCCTGGCAGAGATGAATGGCATTTTCCTGGAGAAAGTGGTAAGAGATATGAAGACACTCCTGTCCACGCTGCCCAGTTTGTCTAGTCAACCATCTTGATTCCCAGTCAGCCAGACACCTTAACATCTGATTGTTGCCACTGTGACCTGCAGGTGGACATGCCAGCTAATAATAAGTGCCTGTTGTTCCGGAAGGAAAGCCTGGTCTGATGGTGGCTTCACTGCAAGCAGTTTCAACAGCTACTCTTTTTTTTTTTTCCACTAAATCAATCTGTCGACACATCAGAACAGGTCATTCAAGGTGGCCAAACAGAGTAGTACGTAAAATAGCAAGTACTATGGTCTTCATTTACTTCTGAAAGTACTTGACATTCCTAGAACCTCTTGGTTTATACCTAGAACCTTAGCCTATCCAAGATTAATATTACAAATTAGACCACCTCATCGCAGAATGTGAAATGCACATATAAAAAATGCATAGAGTTTTGTGAACTGGATTTCTTTGTGATGTTATTGAATAAATTAAATTCTGTTGTGAATGTGATTACTAATGCTAAATAAAGGCTATATGTGGAAAACAATCCTTGCTGAAACTGAGCAAAAATATATTTGAATGAATAACAGAACAGCTCCACTCAGTAGCTTTACACATCAATCATGAATGAACATGAACTTCTAAAGGTCACCACACGGAGAGTCACCCTCAGTCAAAACTCAAAACAGGGGTAAACGTAAATTAAAGATTTTGCCCAATCTACAACACAAATATATACAAACTATACTTTCAACCTATATCTATTAAAAACAGTACTTCTTCACATTTTAAACTAAACTGCCTGTCAACTACAATATTCAATGAAAGTCTCTCCAAAACTGCTATTTATCAGTAATTGCATTTCTAGTTGGGGTGACTATAACTACAGATAATGAATGGTTTTACCTTGGCTTTGTACCTACTAGCATGTCCCTGCCTTGGTAACTAGAACCAAAATTACAAAGTCTACTCTTGGAAGCGCTACAGTGTCTCACAGGTCTTCTTCTCCAGAACCTCGATGATCTTCTTCAAACGCCTTTCAGTAATGGGCCGTACGTAACTCTCTGGCTGGATAACAGCCATGCCTTCCTGCACCTCTCCCATGACCAGCAGGGGGCTGTCCTCCACGGTGATATTCGGACAGGGACACCTCCAGTCCATTTTGGCCAGCGTGACCTCGAGATGGCGGGTGTTGAAGAAGGCCAGGCCCATTTTCTCGTCGCGCAGCACTCTGTCGAGCGTGAAGCGGGCGATTCCGGAGTCCAGGTCCTCGATTAACTCCGTCAGCCGGCCCACGATGGCGAAGTCACTCTGGCACAGAAGGGACATTACCTTTCCCTTGGCGCGGCATGTCTTGCACGGCCGGCGTTTGGGCTGCGGGCAGTTGGCTTCGCATTCGGCTTTGCTGCGGAAGCTGTTGCGGTTCCCCTGGCAACCCCCGTAGGCGAACGCCTGGCACTGCTTTAACAGCGAATTGTACGCCCACCGTGACTCCCAGACCTTGCAGGGCCCCTGCACGGCTGGGAGGGAGCATATTCCCGTGCCCTCGCGCTGGCAGGAGGCGCGGCAGTCCTCGTACGTCTCGAAGCGGTTCCGGCTGCCCTCGCAGGCCCCGTTGACGAAAGTCCGGCAGGTTCCGCGCTTGCTGTCGTAGTACCAGTCCACGTGACGTGGTCCGCATTCCCGCCGGTCCACTTCCGCCAGGCAGTCGGAGGAAGAGAATGGCCGTCCCAGAGGCACGGCCATATCCAGGTCCTCAGAGGGGTCGTCCTCAGCGCGCCTGATAACTGACAGTGGGTAGTCCGCCCGCAGGACGCCAGCAGCATTGCGGGCCGTGCAGGTGTAGATGCCGGTGTCCTGCGCTTGGGCGTTGTAGATGACCAGCTGGCCGATGTTAGTGATGACCAGGTTGCCATACATCTGGTCGGGCCTCATGATAATGCTTTCACGGCGTTCCGTCTGCTTCTCCCAGGTGACGTCTGGCCTGGGGACCCCGATGACATCACAGTGGAAGCTGACTGTCCCCCCTATGTACACGGACTGATGGGTGGGGTTGCTGTACAGCGTGGGGGGAAGGGGATCCTCCTGGGATGATGTGGGTGTGGGATGTGCCGTCGTATCCAGAGGCAATGGGCTGGTGTGCGGCCAGGACAGGTGGTAACGGCAGGTGACCACAGTCAGTGTGACTCCCCGTATGCAGGCCTCGGCATCCATGTAGCAGCGGTTGAAGTAGGTGAGCCCATCAGAGGCGCACGTGAAGCTGGGCTCCTTCTCGCAGCGGTCCCGGCACTTACAGACCGGCTGTCCCTCCCAGATGTCACACATGGCTCCTTGCTGGCTGCATATGAAGCCAAGGCAGCTGGCAGTTCCGCCCCTCCGACCCGCACCATCCGCTCCACCTTGGGCCTCCGGTTGCCCCGCGGAGCTGTCTGCAAAGCGGGCAGCCACGCAGCTGCGCAGCCCGCACACGTTAGTGCAGCACTTCTCAAATCCTGCACAGTCCTGCCAGGAGGTAGGCCAGGTTAAATACCCCGTCTGTTCGAACTCATATGCATCTACAGAGATTTTACTGCAAGCTAAAATAAGCTCAGCACTGCATTTTTCAGCGTCAAGACCGCAAAGCTAGCATCGGGAAAATAACGCATAGTAGTGCACAGTTTCTGGGTGGATACAATTGAAAATGGAGACTCACCTGGTCAGCATTGCACTCCCTTTCGCAGGTGCTCTGGGCATCGACCCACAGATTGGCGTTCAGCTTGTTGGGACAGACCCCGGGGTGCTCGACCCCGGCCAGGCTGGCAGTCAGCGTCGGAGAGGGCAGCGTGCAGACAGAGAGCCAGAGTAACACGGAGCGTAGACCCAGCTCTCTGCAGCCGCGTCCGTCCTGCACACTGACGGGGGATAAGCCTCCATCCCTGACCTCCCGATATCCGCGGACAGCGCCGCTCATTTTCAACCGGTTACGAACACGCAGTCTGGCGAGCCGCCTCGCACTAATTTCATAACTCTCGCTGAAATAATAGTTAAACTTCTTCCCGTGCAGCAAGTCACCTAAGCGGCTTATTAGCTGCACGGCGAGCTGGGGACTTTGCGCAAGCAGAATTTATAACACAAAACGGGGTAGAATAAACCTGTATCCGCCGATATGGGGAATCTCTTCAGCGGTCGATGAAAGTCCTGCTGCCGGCTACAATACAGCGCGTTTCTTCGCCCAAACGCACCAGCAGTGAGGGTGAGGTATAACCCAGATAGGGTAAATGCATCAGGTAGGGCCGCTCCGGTAGGATCTGCGAGCAGGGTGACGAACTCCAGCTTGATTATAGGGGGAAAACGTGAAAGGAGCGAAAGAACTCGGTCCCATGAGGCGGAAAGGGCAGCCCTCTGACCGGCCCATAGGCGTCCAGTGTGGGGTTTTATGAAGGAGCAGCCTGCGCCGCGCAACTGGACAAACACCCAGGGAACATCAAAGGCTCGCTGGACTCCGCCGTGCGGCTCGCCGGCCGAGTTATGGGGCTCCAAACAATTAAGCACATTCCCCACTTTCATAAACACCGGGGAATTGATCTTTATACCAGCTGCTTGGCCATATTTTTGCCAAAGGTTTGGCAACCAGCGCATGGTTTCTCGCATGCATCACTAATGTTAAATCTACCTAAAAGGGGAAAAAGCTCCCCCCTCGCCGATGACGTTAACCTTGCACGAATTGCAGACCAAATATCACTGCGTCTCCGAGAGCGCAGCAGCCGATTAACATGGTCGTGACCACCCAGCCTACACCGGAACCCGGAGGCGTAATGAGTCGGGCTGAAGTATACAAATAAACACGAGTATTTAGGGTCTGTCCAAGTCTAGACTCCGGGTGGCGAGGCTCCATCCCTCATTCACACAAAGCTCCGACATGCCGCGGTCAGGTGGGAAGCGCCAAGCGTGAAATCCGCAATGCTCCGCGACCCAGCATTGTCCCCCGCAGCCAGGGAGACCCTGAGAAGTTACTCCCTTGCTTTTGATCGCAGGTGACCCTTCAACCTCCGGGTGACTCCTGACCCACGCATTCAGGCTTCCTGGGTCTTCAGGCCAGGACAGGCTACGGACAACAACGGCAGGGCTTCACTGCTCCGGGAGCTTTATTGCACTTGAGCATGGTACTGACATACTCCGCTTATGAAAGGACAAAAACTCTCAGGAGGACAAAGAGAACAAGAAGTTCCCACAGTTTGGGCACTAGCGACATTAAGACACTCAATGGAAATGCGCTGCCCGCCCTTGCTACCGCCCACACACTAAGTAATACGCTATAGTGTAGGATTGTTGTGTGTAATAAAAGGACAGAATGCAAGACGCCCCCTTTCTCATTCATTCATTCATTAATATAAAACCAAATGTAAAATATTTGGAGGTTTATTTGGGGGAAAAGTACTTCCATTTAATACGAACTGTACAATCCAAAATGATTAAAAAAGTTGTGTTTAATTACAAAGCATTCTTCATTTAAGTTACCCAGCAGCTTAAATCAAAGTAAGATAGTGTTTTACTCTAACCACAATATTATTACAGTTCCCTTTATATAACACGGAAAATGGAAAAATAGCAAAGACCAAACTAGCTGTTGTAAATGAACACCCCCCCCCCTTCCCCCACATCCTACACACAAATAAGGAATGTTACAGTCAAGCCAAGTTGCTTAAACAAAAAAAATAATAAAATAAAAAATCCGACCATTCACCTTTAAAATTACAGGGAAATACAACTCAAATGGACGAAATTGGAGGAGCTTCATGGGCTGTTAATTGCATTTACAAGCCATGGTCACAGAAGTGTGTTTTACTTCATCCCCGAGGATAAGGTACATTGCTTAACATGGCAAATCTCCCTGATTAGCACGGGGGCACAGGAATCTGCTCCCTGCCAGCCGTGCAGGGGACCTGCGAGGTCTGGGGACCCCACCGGGCGTACATACATCCCAATGGCTCAGTCCAAGGAGGAAGACTTTAAACGTAACACTGCTGCAAGACTTCTGTAACAGGCAGGTATGCAGGAGTAGTGGAGGGGCAGGGCTGATGCAGCGAGAGCCTGCGGGGTCAGGGCATGGGGCCAGAAAAGCTCATCCTGATTCCTGGATCTCACACTGCCCTCTCACTCCTACACTGGGTGTAAACGGCAACAGACACGGCTACTTAACCCACAAAAACAAGAGACAGTTGCTCTTCATAAAAGGAACTTAATTATAATACATGTCCTTAGGAAACCCGACTCAGCCAGTGCTAGCCTGGCGTCACAGACAGGGCTTGCAGAAGCGGGGGCGATTGGTCCCTGAGTTTCGGGGAGGTGGGGGTCAGAGAGGAGAACCGCGAGGGGTGGGGGGGGGGGAACCAAAGAGCAAGAGTTTGTGAGGCTCTGTGCAAAACACAAGACGATCCCTGAAAGGGCATACCAGAAATGAATTAAATAACAGGATAATTACAATATTACACCGTGAAGCTTTGCTACAGCGACAGGAAAAATACCTAAATGAAAGCAGGAAAAACACCAGAGCGCATTTTAACAGACGAAGCTCCATAGACGAGCAGTGAGTAATGATATCAGCAGGCATACAGCTGCTTTTAAGGGGTCTAGAAGCCGGCACACCGGCAACCTCATTAACAAAACCGCTCTCTGCTTAATTCACAGACGGAGCCACCTACTTGGCTTTCATTCTGTTGATCTATTGAAGCTTTTCTGAAGATGAACTGATCTAACTTCAAGCTGTATACATCGTGCATTTAAGAAGCACAACCCTAATACTCAGTTACTGTTCTAAGGGAAAACAGTTCATTTTGTATGAAAAAGAGATATCTATTAAAATATTGCGACTATGAAACAGTTGCAGGCCTCTCTGCATTTCCCCAGTAGTGGATTTGGCGGAGGAAGGCCGGCCGTGCAGGCTACTGAAACACTGATGAGTGAATGAGTTAATGGCAGAAAGGCAAAGGAGTTTAGCTGAAGTCATCAGTGTGATGTGGAAGGTTACAAAAACAGACCCATGCATTCAGCTGAAAACCAGCCTGGAAGGACTGGGAATGAGGCCTGGCTGTGTTAACAAGCATGTTCATTAGGCAGAGTGAATGATGGCAAATAAGGGGGCACTTCACCTTTATTATTTAAGCGCCTGAACTGGACCCCAATTAACAGCTCATCCTTTCATAAAACTCTCCCCAGCCAAGGATGGCGGCTACACAGAGGCAAAAGGGTAAAACAAACAGGACTTGTGCTCTGACACACTTGGGCCCCGTCGTGTTTCACCCGAGTTATTGACTTGAGTTTACTTGGTAACTGGAGGGTATCTGAGGTCCAGTCCTATGCATGTGCTGCAGAGCAGTAGCTTTTCATGGTGTTTCGCTCCACCACATACAGCTATTATACATTATACTGTTTATACACATACATGCGCAGTTCCTGGTGCACTTGGATTAGTGATTTTCTATAAATTCTACTCTAGGGACCAGGGAAAGAAGTTTCTTCCCCACAAACAGATTAAAGATTTCCTTTTAATCTCAAAAATACATGCTCTGCTTGGCTACATCCATAAAAATGAACTTTAACCCCAGCTCTCCAAATAATAATCAAGGGTGAAATCTTGATTTAAAAAAAAAAAAAAAAAAATTTTTTTTTTTTTTTTTTTACACAAAAAAAGGGGTCAATTTTCTAAAATAAGAATAATGCTATAAGGATTGTGTTCAGACTGAATTAACTGGGGAACCTAGTATGAAGATCTGTAAAACTGTACCACATTTTAATAAGACTCACCATCACCTCGTTCTAAAACTCTAGTCACCTTTATAATGAAAATGAAGAAAATGTAAATAGAACCAAACAGAAATGAGATCAGGGAAGATGGAGAACGGATAAGTAAAGATCAGAGTCTGCTCACGGCCTTCACTGCCATAATACGTCAGACGCTAATCTGCGGCTCCATTCTGAGGGGTCTTCAGGATGGCCAGATTAATCTGGAGCACTTGAGGTTCTCGACCTCCTGCTGCCAACATAGGTCAGTTGGAACAGCCGTACTCCAAGACCACGTTCCCAGGGTCAAGTGTGGAGGAGAATGAGACAGGAGCAGCTTGTCAGCTGGGTTACCCGATGTGCGGCACAATATTGTTCAGTAGTGCGTTGTGTACAGCTTCCAATCATCAGAAGAGTGTGGATCTCTTATAGAAAAGAAAAACCAGAAAAGAAACCCCAACATCTGAGAGCAAAGCGCAGACATCCTCAGGGGCAGGCAGATAACGTTCACCTGTTCCAAGCACAGGGCTAAAAGGTGCCATCTGAACCATCTACAAGCACATGAGGAATTTCAGTGCAAAATTTCATTACAAAATAAAGCAAACTGACCACAGCCAAGAATCTGTTTCCATTAAATATCAAGTGTAAATACTGTATTAAAATAAAATGCAGAGAAGTAGTTCCAACTAGCTATAGTGTTGAACGGCTCCAGAGGGTTGGAGGAGCCATTGAGATGGATGGATGGATGGATGGATAGCTAACTGTGGTGGCTGCAGGAGAAAGACCCTGGGTCCGACCACATGGCCCCAGGCAGGACAGGGTCTTCATAGGAGGAGATGGGCCCCATCCAGGGCCAGTCCATGGTTCTGGCAATGCAGTCTCTGAAAGGTGATAGGTAATGATTGGGGGCTCGGGGCCCCACAGCGACATGCTATGAAATCTTGCAGTTATTCCTGGCACAATTCTGAGGTGGACTTTGGGGAGGCCGGACAGACTTGGAGCGCTTAAGGCTGTTACCCTTGCTGCTCCCGGTGGTGGTGGTCAGTGTGGGCCAGTAAGAGCGACCGTGCATCATGACTGCGTTCATCCCGTTGGCCATGGAGAAGGACTTGAGGTGGCTCTTGATGGCCACAGGCAGGGGCAGCTTGTCGATCAGGTGGACAGGTGTACAAGACACGATGGCACGGCAGCACAGGTCCTGGAGGCTGAACACTGAGGAGAACGAGCACACAAATGTGGAAGTCAGCATCTTTAACTTTTTGCAATGACCAGGGGTGCTGTGAAGGGGAGGGGAGTTAGTCAGAGATCCTTGGAATTGTCCTGACAGAGGCCCTAAAAAGCGGTACAGCGTACCTCCAATCACCTCTTCTCATAGCACACCTACTCTCTTTATATTTAGACAGATTTACAGAGAGACACACTTAAATTTCCAAGGAGAAATTAATCATTGATTAGCAGAAATATTCAGTTCAAGGCTCTGGTTTAGCCAAAAATTGCAATTTATGCAATTATGCATCCAGTAATCATAAAAAAAAGGTTCAGTTGTTCTGAACAGGAGTGTTAAAAATGGTTATGTAACTTCATTGCAGTACACTCCAGAGGGCGACTGTTTACAAATTAAATTTAACTAGATTACTGTTACCATTCTATGGTTGAAATTCTTTTTATAAAATGGTGTAATTACTGCTAAAGCATACATATAAACAGAACTCGACTAAATAATTAAATGATCAAATTTAAATATTACATTCTTACTATACATGAAGTCATTGGGGGAAAAAAACACTTCAAATAAGATCAACGCCCATAAAATCTCAATTTTAAATTCAACTATCATCTTCTAAGAAAATCAGACCCATGTTATCATGAATGAACCAAGTTCATAAGAAAACAAGATCAAGAAATATCAAATAGGCTGCTTGTGATTTTGAAAGCAGGCTTAAAGCTATTAGGGAATATTTCTGAAAATCTAATGAAAAACTTCAAGGACATTAAGAGCACTTAGTAAAGGCCTCAGGAGGTTAACATGCTAATAGTGCTGCCTGAGGTGCCCAATGAAGTATCTATCAGCAACTTCTACAGGAAGAACCTCATTTACTAGTTCTACAAATGGGGAGGGTGTGATGGATGTCTGATGTTCTAAATTGAATGGTGCTGCTTTGGATGGGGCACAGACAGAGGAAGTGGACAGAGAGCTTTGCTGAGCAAGGCAATCTCTTCACCTCCAGCACTTTGCTCCTGAAAGCCTGCTCCCTTCCTTGCTGATTGAGAAGACATCTTAAGTGTCAGCTGGAGCACGGCATTTCTAACATGTATGTTTGCAGGCAGTACTTCCAACCTCAAAGTATGACAGCTGCGAACTTTGAAGGTCAAGAGACTGGGATTCCTGAAAGTCCTGTCTGACTGGAAATAAATATAAACACTAACTTGTAAATGACGACGCTTCTGTTTCAAGTCAAATGACTGACAGTTCAGGGTTTCTCACTGAGCTCCCCGCCAGTATCACAATGAATCACTCCGAACCGGATGGTCTGCCCGCCCTGCTCCCTCACCTCGGTTGGGTCTCCAGAACTTCTCCATGCCGTGTCTCATGAGTACGATGCGGGACAGCTCTGTGAAGGACTCAATGACGTTGAAATTGCACAAGGGGCTCACTTCGAAAAAGGTCATTCCGTTCTTCTCAGCGTAGGCGCGGGCTTGCTCCGTGGGCACCTGCCGCTTGAAGGCCAGGTGCAGTCGGTTGCCCACTAGGATGCGTGGCACACCAGGGGCATGCTGGGAATTCAGAGAAACAGGCAATCAAAGGGGACATAGAGGACTACTGGCTCAGGTATCACCCATGCAATAGTTAGATGACATGGCTCTTATTACCAGCAAATATATAATGCACTGTAATTAAACTACTGTTTATAATTTCAGTAAATAATTTCTAAACGAGCTGAGAAAACGTCCTCATCACTGGGATGGTAAGAGCAGAAAGTTCAATATGATCACAGATCAGATTTACAGCAGTGATTCTCAACCAGTGATTTGAGAAACACAGATTTAGAGCAGTGCATCTACAACTTTTGCACTGAGTATAAGCTACAGTTAACGTCTACTGACAGGATACGAGGAAGCAGGAAACAGTAGAGCCCCACGTGTACGGGACAGGGCTAAAATTTGGATGCCAGCACCCACAGGATGTCCTATGAGGGAAACGGAGGGGCGCTTTCCACTGAGAGGACAGGAAACACAGGAAGACCACGGAGGCAGGAGAACCCATGCCTTGCATTCCAACGATTTAGGCTCCTGGGTAGTTAAAGGGCTTCTGAGTGGGCCCTGTGAGGATTCGCTTGTAAAGCAGCTTGCTTGCGTAATGGGCAGAGCAGGCCGATAAGAACGGCAACTGCAGCTCTATGTCAGAGAACCACACAGATCAGTTAAAGGCGAACCCTTACCTCATCAATCTCACGGATCCAGCGGTCAATACCGTCAAAGGACCAGCGATTGGTGATGTCATACACCAGCAAGATTCCCTGAGCAAACAGAAAAAAGGGAGCACAATCATTTTCATCCATACATTGACAACAAACAGCACAGACTCTGGGAAAACAAACAATCCACCATCTACTGTCAAGGAGTTGCCTAAAAAAAATCTTTGGTTCATGATCCACCAATGATAATGCCTTTAAAAAAATTAATCAATGGTCACTGTGGAAATTAGCACACTGAATGACCTGGCAATTGTCCCACAATCTCTCTGGGAAGTTCATGCGGCTGATTACATTTCAAGAGCTCTGTACTTTCCAGCTAAATGCTGCAATAAACTTGCAGCAATTGTAAGGGGGTTGGGAGCTTAATTCTGATCAAATTAAGATAAATGGCAGTATTTAAAGCTGGCCTAAGTGGCTACTGGAAGACAACATGTTCTTGAAATCCAATCACTGTTGACAAAGATTAGGATTCATCATACCGTTATCAGCCCACTGGCTACAACTCACCAGTAAGCAAGACTGATAAGGTGCAAGATGCCTACCTGAGCACCTCTGGAGTAGGACCTGAAGATGGTGCAGAACCTGCCCTGTCCCGAGGTGTCCCTGAGAAGCAGACAGACAGATGAGTAAGTCTGCTGTTGACAGCGGGCAGGGTAAGTATGCCAGGCTCAGCGGCTCCGAAACAGCCTCAACCTGTGCCAGGTGGCTGACTCAAGCAGAAGCCCTTACACCTGAGGTGTTATTTTATAAAGGACAATACAGAGTGGGAATAAAGTTTCATGGCTATTAACTTTAATGAGAAAATCAGTCTAAGGGCCTATTTAGAACAACACACAGAGGCATGTATTTACATGTAAAATTATGGCGAGGCATGAAGAGATTTCCAAAGTCTTGTTGGCAGTTCACACAACCTTAAACCACAGCTATAAGTCATCTCTCAACTACCATGTTAAGATATTTATCATCCTTTATGATCATGTACATACCACAGCTCCAGTTTGACTCTTCTCCCGTCCAGCAGAATGGTTGTGGTTTTGTAGTCAATCCCTGGGAAGAGAGAGTGAGATTGAGAAAAGGGTAAATAAGGAGAAACTCGTACTTGCGCCATTACTGTCTGCCAGCACACAGCCCTTGCTGCTGACTGCCTGAATGGACATTTTGGGGATGAACCTCCCATGATGTGCTGCTGTGAAGCTCAGGGCCAAGGCGTTAATGCAGGACTTCTTATCACCAGGTTTCTGTTTCAGCCTTTTCACTGAGTGTTTCCATTAACAGCACCCTTTTTCAGGCCAGCACTTGCAATTCTCTGTACACCACAGATAAGAGCTGCGGTCACCCATTAGCATTGTAGCGCTGCTATACGGCCTAGAGTACTTCGTAGCATCTGTGCTAGAAAAGAGAAGCGAAAGCCATGTAGTGTTACCCTACAGCTTCTGCAGTGTGGTAAACAAGCAAAGCTGATGACCTCAGCATAAACAGAATCCACAGAGTAATACACAATTCAGAAGCCATCAGAAGTCGACTGACAAAAATGTACACTAAAAGCACAGAACCTGAATAAGAATAGTGATTAAAACTTTGAGATAAGTACAATTCTGTACAGGCTCCACAGGATCACACAGATGCATCATATTGTTGTTGATAGCATTCCCGTTTTTAGAAAATGCCCTTTTAAAATCAGAAAAGAAAAGAATCATCGCCACACCGGACAAAGGATGACCATGTATTTACACGTACAAACTTACTTGCGGCACACCTAAACTTAGTCGGTGACCAGCCCACTTTGTTATCAAATCCTTTAGTAAACAGGTCACTGTTTCCTCTTTTGTACTGTTCACACCCTGTACAATGAAAACTCCACATCCCAGCTGTATCACAGACCACCAGGCCAACTGAGATGGCAGACTTTAAGGGGGAAAACAAAATCAGCAGGACTAAAAACAAGGCCAGTGCAATCAGAGTGATCAGAGTAAATTATCCCTGAAGGCCATGCAATCTAGCCCTGAGGAAGGACTCATCCCCAGATTCTGAACATAAACAACCAAACTACCACTACAGGGCTCTGCTAGAAGTCTCAGTTATACTACAGGATTAAACTACTAAGTGAGGAAGACACATGCAAGACATTCAGTTGTCCTGAATGGAAAATACTTTGTGTACCTGTACACTGTTTGCTTAAGAAAGATTTAGACACAGTGCATTAAGGTACAGGAATTCTAGTTTTAAAGATGACCCAGTATTAACTTGAATAATGGAGCATTGCTGTTGCATAAGAGGTACCATTAAATATCCTTGTAAATGTATTCTTGCTTGTTCCTTCTAGTTGCACAGTCAAAAGAGCAGTTCAGGATACATTTCACTGCATGTTGTACCTGTTTAACTATGCAGGTGACAATTAAAAGAAGCTCTCTCTCTCTCTCTCTCTCTCTCCTGAATAGCCCACTGAACATTCATACTGGCAGGAGAAAGTATTGTACATACTTTGATGAAGACACAGCAAATATAAACATCAGTTATTATCAAACATTCTTCTGTTCCATTTTCAATAATTGCTCCTCCAAATTAGGATGCCAGTGACCCGAAACCTAGTTCATGAAACATATGGCATGGAATACTGATGTATTACAGCACACTTAAAATGACAAATTAAAGACATCTGAAAGTCAGCATTTCACCTAATCTGTATGTCTCTGGACCAGGCACAGTAACCTGAGTACCAGCAGAAGTAGAAATAATCCATTGCCAAAAATTCTGGGAAAAACGGCGTATTTGTCAAAAAGTCCTATGACACGAGACACCCTTATGACACTATCCCCAAACTCAGTGTTATCTACGAAGGAATGTCTACAAGGATAAGATCAACTGAACTTCAGCTTCCTATAATCTCAAATGATTATTGCAGTGAAAAATTACTTATTTTGAAGGAAAAAACATTGTTTTACTTCAGCCACTTCAGCAAATGTTACATTTATTTAAATACTATCCAATCAGTTGAATTGAACCACGCTGAATCTTTGCATGAATAAGCATGCTCTCTTTTATGCAACATACTGCAAACCATGTATCTAGATAATATCTAGATATAGATAGCTAGATGGTACTGTCTCAGTGGGAGAGATACACGCCCCATGCAATACACTTTGGTTATCATCGTCTCAGGTAGAGCTTCTTCCCCAATTTCAGTCTTCTGGCAGAGGCCAGCAGCGTTCCTTCAGGAATCTGTCTGTATTTGGCATCATCCAATATCCGTTAGCCTCCAGGTCCCCCACAGCCCAATGAAGAGAAGAGAATCACTGCCATAAAAGGACGAATCTGCTTCAGATTGCAGTGCTGATCTTTGAGCAATGTGCCATCTCCGGTTTTTAGACATAACATTTTGCAATGCACCAGAAAAAAAAACAATCTATCTTGCTTTCATCTGACGAAAGAGCTATTTCCCAAATGACTCCAGACCTCCCGGAGTGCAGTTTTACTCATTTGTAACTTCTCCTCAGCACCCTCCTGTACAGAGCATGTCTGTGGTCTGAGTTTATAATGATGCAATGTAACAAGCAGACCGTTCTTTGACAGAAGGCCTGCAGGTCCTGTAAGGTTCTTCCATCATCCCCTAGGTCTCCTTCCAGTTTGAGGAGGATGACCCCATGGTGTCACCATGATTCGCACTTCTTAAAAATTGTTTTTATGATGCAGCAGAGACTTTCATCCCATGGTGCATGACTGTGTGCGAGTACATGTGTGTTTTGTGATGACCTAGTATCCCATTCCCCCCCTAACCAAGATAAATCTCTGGAAGATGGGTGTATTTAAATATCTTAATTAGTGAAGCAACCAGCTCTAAACAATAGAAACTATGTTAATTACTACAAGGTGGTTGGGGGTGAAATGCATTGTGTGTGTCCTGCCGAATATGTCCGGAACATTTTGGGGGGGAAAAAAGCATAAATAGCAAAAGCTTCAAATATATTTCCACAATTCTTAAAGAAAGAACCGAAAATGCAAGATTTCTATTAGAGACCACTCACTGATTTCAGGGGTTTAGCTTTTCCAGCCAAAAAGGCATCAGTTGCCTCACCAGAGAAAAATATAGCCTGGCATTTAACTTATTTCCAGAAATTTCCTGAGACAAAATTCCAGCAACTAAACTGAGATTTTATCTCGCCCCTTAATACAGATGAACTTCAAACTATGAGGACAGATTACCTCAAGTTAGATGGCTTTGCCTGTCCAAATACCGTGGGACACACACAAAAAAATACACATAGGAAGAAATATACTCAAGTTGTGGAGCACACAACCTTAGAGTTAACAACAACTCCCACAACTTTCCCTAATCAAAAGCCAATGTAAATGTTCAAGATCAATTAATGCTTAACCTACTGCAATGTTCCAGTAATGAGGGTTTTCATATATAAAGACAGCATCCTTCCTCTAATTTCAGACAGTGAGTGCTAGCTTGGTACCATAAAAAGGTCAACAGCACTAAACATTGCTGAAATGCTCACAGACATTCATCCACATTAGCTGAGCAGCACACAGATTAAAAACAGCTGTCTTATAAAAGCTGAATGATTATTTGGAGCATACAGATTCCTATTAAGGAGAGCCACTATGAATCTATGATCATGTGGGCGGGTGGGCTATTTTCCTGTCATTGCTGGCTTTGAACAGCTGCATGCCTGGCCCAGGGGCATATAACCACAGACGACTACAGCTGTGTTCTGCACTTCTGAAGTGTACCATCCACCAGTTTACATTCCACTTGTGCAAAAACAGGACACATTTTACCAAGCACAAATATGCTTTAAAATGCTGAGCTGGCCTTGTGCAGCATACCGACATGCTTAATCGGCCATATCACATTCACATCTGATCAGTTTGTATCCATCAGTTTGTATTTTTGGCCATAAAACAGAAACATGATGTACCAGCCATTCAGATTCATATTAAATTTCTGGGACAGCTGTGCTCTACCTTCAGCAGAATAATGTTGCAACCATACATAAGTGACACTGGCAGGACATCCCATGGGGAGGTGAACATCACACATCTAAAATTAAACAGCACTACCACAATTTTGAGCTGGCGTCCTATGGAGGAAAACATCTGAAGGTCTGATACAGGCAATAGAAGGTAAAGACCATCAAAGGGGTGATGTTACAGTAAAACTGACAGCAAATATATTGAACAATACCTGTTTTTCTAGCACATCACCTCCAGAGTACTTTTTGGTGGCATTACAATTTCTACACCATCAGTAAATCTCACAACTTCTAAGATGACGGGTCTTTTTAGACTAATAGATTTTTCTAGCCTTCTGTGAATGCCTGGTCTACTCATCACCAGTGTTACCTACTGAGCAACATTTGTGCTCTGTGGCTCCAGGAATACTCACCACTGCTGTAGGCATATGGTGACTCTGCAGATCCATCCTGCAGACTGTCTAGGATCTCGCCTTTCCCCACGTCGCTGTCTCCAACCAGCAGGAACTTCAGAAGGTAGTCATAGCTCTTGACGGGGCTACCCTGGGTGCCCATCCTTCCTCTCATTTGCACAAAGGTGAGCTGAGAGCTGGTCTCTTGGGAGCACCCTTGTGCCCGGCCGGATCCAGCTGGAACCGAGGTCACTTCTACCCCTTCTTGACAGGGTGCAAGCTAACGTCGAAATCCCCAAATAGTCGTGAAAACAAGTAGGAAAAAGACTGACTAGGACTTCCACACAGGGTAGGGTAATTAAATGTAGGCGTGCAAAAAATAAATTCACACCAAAATTCAGATAATAGAGAAACACCAGGTTATAGAAAGAAGACTCCCTGCAATTTACCACCTTTTAGTGTGTTTATGTAGTATAATTATGATTCCGAGTCCAGCTGCAGGCAAATGACCTGAAATATGGCTTTAATACGGATCAACCGTCTCTGAAGCTGCACAGTTGTCAAAGAAAGTAAAATGTGAAGATCGTCCATTAAAAAAAGCACACCTCCTGCTGAACAAAGACCCTGAGGTGTAATGCAGAATGAAACCCAAATGGTACTCGGTCCTTAGCAGGAAAATCACATCTTTGTTTTTGTTATGGTGAGCCCAGCTGGGTCCGGGGGCTCATTGTCTTCACCGATGGTTTAAACAAAGACGACCTCACCGCAAACCGTGTTAAAAACGGTCCCAAAGCGAACATTTAAAAAATCTTCATTAACAACACAGACATTGTTTTGTATTTTATTTTAAAAACTAAACGACCGTGGACGTACCTATGGAAAAAGAGAGATTTCCGCCCGCTGGCATCTCCAGCTAAGCCAGGCGTATTAAAGCGAGCTTTTCGGGGCTGCAGCGGCTAGGGACGCCTGGAATCGAGAAGAATGAACTACGCACATCCATACTGCCAATTAAACTACCAAAGAAGCTGGTGAAAGTCACGTCTAACCAGAAACACCAGTTAACGACTCGCTATTCAGAGTTAGCATGCTAGCTTGCTAACAAGCAAAGCTAAATGCTAAGACCTACTGGTGGTAATTATCTAAATGCCATTTACTAAAGGCGATAATAAATAATAAAAAGCAGTATTCTAGGAAAATACACCGGGTTATTTGCTTTTTTTAAAAATAAATAAAAAAAACAAGTCTCGCTTTTCACTCAGCGGAGTCGGTCAGAAAAAACGGTCCTTGTGCTGCCATCGAATCCGCCCCTGACGTTCAAGGCGTCGGATGTGCAGTTACATATATCCCGAGGTCTGGTACAAGGCCTGTGCTAGCGCGCTAGCTCGACAGCTTTCTTTTTGCGAATAGTCCGGTATTGGCTTTATTTGGCTTGGTATCTCCGAGTAACAACAAATTTAGCTAACCTGATAGCACTCGTCATAAACAACGTACTGTTGTCCATAGGTAAACTACACACGCAGGATAGCGTCCCACTGTAACGCAGACGACTCAGCGCTGTCACTGAGAACACGGAGCAATCTTGCTCAGGCTCCAGCTTCAGCTTCAGTTTAGCTCTAACCCGACTCGCTCTGCCCCAACTCTGCCCACCCCCCAGCCGCGCTAATCCCACCTCTTTCTGCAGATGCTGTTTATAAACTGACAAATATTTATTCACACGATTAGTGTCAAGTCATGAAGTGTATTGTTGTAAATAATTAAATTATATAAATACATTTCAATATGGTGATGTTTATGCTTGTCTTTAAAATTTCAATGGTTTCAACATTACTTATACAGTTAAAATGCATGTTTGGCGTCACTAAACAAGCAATGCTTCATTGTGCGTTTCCCCGTTATCATTTGTCGTACGGTTCTTTTAAAAAATAATGTTCACTCTGGATTAAATTTGCAGTAAAAGTGGTGTCAGCATAGCGACTGTTGGTTATCAGGTTTTTGTGACAACAAAACACAAAAAATAAACACGAAACATGAACAACTAGTATTCGGTCGAAAAATAAATAAACTCGCATAAGACAGCCTTAGAAATCCTGGCACTAACAACTTCATCTTACTTTTCCATTTCGTCAATTTGTTAAAGTCTCACACAGACATAATATCGTCCATATTTGCTTACATACGCATTAATACTGTACATTAGTCTAAACATCAAGGTATAATATATGTGTTTACATAAATGGTGAGTTATTTGTCCATTATTGCTCATGTTCGTGGTTATTTCGAAGCGGATTATATAACTGCAGAGTGTAGCTAATAAAGGAAGGTCGTTTTTCTGGAAGTCCCCAGGGCGACCGTATCCCATCCCTGTTCGTGCTGACTCAGCGAAATCTCCCTGAAACAGCAGCGGTAGCGCTACGCTTTTTATTGTTAGTAAATGATGGTTAAGCAACAGAAAAATTCTCTGTCTTGAAGGCTCTTCACACAATTGGATATATGACATTATATATAGATTGTAAAAGCTCATAGAGCACGTACTTTATTAGGAAGATCTGTACACATGTTTATTCATGCAAGTATCTAATCAGTCAATCACGTAGGAACAATGCACACAATCATGCAGCTACAGGTCATGAGCTTCAGTTAATATTCACATTAAACACCTCAAAGGGGGGCAATATAATGTGATCTCCGTGATTGGTGTCAGGTGGGCTGGTTTGAGTATTTTTGTAACTACTGATCTGATATTTTCATGAACAACAATCTCTAGAGTTTACTCAGAATGGTGCGAAAAACAACCAGAGAGTGGCAATTCTGTGGATGGAAATGCCTTGTTGATTATAGAGGTCTGAGCAGAATGGCCAGACCGATTCAAGCTGATAGAAAGGCTGCGGCAATTCAGATAACCACTCTGCACAACTGTGGTAAGCAGAAAGACATCTCAGAATGCACAACACGTCAAACCTTGAGGTGGATGGATTACACCAGCCGAAGACCATGTCCGGTTCTACTCCTGTCAGCCAAAAACAGAAAGCTGAGGCTGCCTTGGGCAAAAGCTCACCAAAACTACAGCTGAAAACTGGAAAAGTGTAGCCTGGTCTGATGAATCTCAATTTCTGCTGAGGCACACAGATGGTGGGGTCAGAATTTGGCATCAACAGCATGAATCCATATACCCAACCTGCCTTGTGTCAACAGTCCAGGCTACTGCTGGTGGTGTAATTGTGTGGAGAATGTTTTCTTGGCACACTTTGGGCCCGATAAAACCAATTGATCATTGATCATGAATGCCACAGCTTATTTGTGTGTTGTTGCTGACCATGTGTATCCCATCATGGTCACAATTTACCCATCTGGTGATAGCTACTTTCAGCATAATGTGCCATGTCACAAAACAAAGGCTGTCTTTACCTAGTTTCTTGAGCATGACAATTAGTTCATTTTTCTTGCTAAATATACATAGATACGTAGTTCTATCTATAATGTATTCACAAGGATAAAATACTGCAGACTTTTCTAGTTATGGATTTGCATTGTTACCTAAGTTTCTACTTCACATTGAATGATTAAAGACATTTAAACCTGTCAGGCAAAGATCTGGCATCCCGGACAACACATTAAAATTCAGAATTGCAATGACTGTATTGTTTGATGCACTGTTGTTGTAATTGTTTTTTTTTTTTGTTACTATTGATTATTTTATTTTAAGGATACACAGCATGTCAACTATGCAGAGGTAAAAATTAGGAACTGGGTGTCATCAATAAAAATGGTCTAGAACTGATTTAATCATTCTGCTACAGTTAGTTTTTATCCAGGCAGATTGGAGATGAAAACTAAACTTGCAACCAGTGGAGAGAGCATAGATAAAACGGGCACATATCTCCGCACACTCGTTCAAAACGCCAGTCTTGTAGGCATGAGTCAGCAGTGGTGCCCAGTATATGTGCCCTGTGATGGACTGGCATGCCACCCAGCCTTGTACCCAATTCTGCCTGGGATACTCTCCAGGTCTCCCACCTGGCACTGACCACAATAAGCAGTTAGAAGATGTCCGTACCACTAGCACAGTCATATTTCCCAACCTAAAGTATATTTCTTGCCTTTGGCTGGCATACTATACGAAATGCAGCATTGCACCATAAACATTGTGTCAGCTATTTAATAATAAAAAGGGTTTTATTTGGCCATTGTGCTGCTTCCCTAATGGTGCCAGCCTGCAGACCACAAACACACTGCAGTATATGGGCATAGTGATGAAAGGATTTGGCTCAGTAGGAGTCTACAGAGGAGGTCCTCATCAATGACAAGAGCTAAGGCGGGGTGGGGGGGTGGCAGACCACCAGCTGGTTGAAGTTTGTCACTGTAACTATTATAGGATTTTTTGTTTTGTTTCCTCCATTGTATTCTGATATTTCACTTCTTCCTGCACTTGTAATTCAGTCAATGTTCTTGTTAAATTTTAGCAAAGGTGCCATATAAAACTCTCCTATATCCTTTCATCTGCCAAAATTCCAACTACTTATCCTGGTCAAGGTCACTGGAGGGCCTGGAGCTTGTCCCAGGCAGCATAAGGCAGAGAAACACCCTGGATAGGATGCCAGATCATCACAGGGCATACACCCCGTGGAAATTCATAGATGCCATCATGATTTTGGACTGCAAAAGAAAACCGGAGCAACATGGCCAGTCGCGCTGGAAATAGTGGTACCGTGGGTGCTGGAGCACCCCTTCTGGTTATTTGTGGTAATGCAGTGTCAGAATACTGTAGGGCAGGGCTATTCAAATCGCGGTCCTCAAGGGCCAAGCACTGCTGTTTTTCCAGCTTTCCTTTACCTGTGAGCCAGTTGTGAAGCCTCTGGCCAATTAGAGCTAGAAATTATTAAGCGAACTACCTGGGAGACTTGAAAACAAGGCCTGAATTTGGAATCGAGGGCCAGATTTGAATAGGGGTGCTGTAGGGCAATGTGCCCATGCACAAGATTTTGTCAAAAAGAAAACCATGGCATTATGTTAATTATCTTATTGACTTTATGACTTAATGACTTTCTCCAAAAGGACCAATGTTGTTGATAGCTACCGTTACAGAAAAGTCTATTGGTCGTTCTGAATTTCAGCACCCTGAACTCAAAACATCTTTGTAAAACCATGTTGGACAGAGATTCAACAGACATATGGCCGAGGTGGGATTTGAACCCCCAACTCTGGCGGTGCTAGGCACTCCCCATTAGGCCACTATGCTGCTTTTACATCAAGCCACATTGGAATTAAGTGATATGACTGAGTAGGTCTTCTGTCACACAATGTGGCAGTTCAGTATTAACAAGGAAAATTCACTGCATACACTAAGATATGTTCAGTCTAAAACAGAAATACTGCAGCTTTGTAGGAAATCAGTTGTTTGACATTGACTTTGACAGTTATGCACATTATTATCTAGCTAAACATAGTCGACTGTCAGTTGTTGTGCTTGATGTACTCTGGTAAACTTCAGCTGGGAAAATATAATTTCTACAAAACAAACCAAAGCAATTTTACTTGCAAATAATGTCGTGATCTTTGAAAATAATATGGTATAGTTCATTAACACAACAATGCATATATAATGATATGAAAAAGAGTTTCTGCGGTGTGCACCTTGCAGTTATTATTTTAAATGCAAAAATAAGAACAGCAAAGATCATTTGTATAGTCTTTTAGCAGCGTCAAGCGACTGAATATTTAATATCTCTTCTGATCACCTGCCAACCCATTGAGGTTCCTGATCCTAACCAGCACTTTCCCATTGTGAATTTCCATTTAAAAAGCTGACAGTCCCAGAGAAGGTGGTTGAAGAAACGAGTTTTACTTTCACAAGGGGGGCATGAGGGATGTATTGTGGTACTGAATCACAATGAGACTGACAAGGCCAAGACGAGAGAGAGGAGGTAGCTAGCTTCTGCTATCTCATTAAAATTTAGTAGGATAGGCTGTTATACTCCTGCTGCTATGGTGACAGTATGATCATTTATACAAGTCAACTAAATTTTAACTAAAAAAAACATGCACGAGATATTACATATATTTATGCAAGTATATGTGCATTAGTCAGAGGGTAATGTTTATAAGATGTTGAAAGAAGAAGGATAAATATTTTATGCATGAGCCTGCAATGTGAAACATGCTCTCTCCAGGTGGAGGTTAGACATGTCACAGCACTTCAGGACGTCGTGGGAGGCATATGCAGGGCGTGTAAGACACCTCGTTTATAATAAAACGACACACGGCAGCATAGGGCGTCTCTGTCTTACTGTGATGACTTGTTATAAGTCACTGAGAATAGCTTTGGAAAAAATAAGGTTTTATTTAAAAGAGTAGGAAAGGTGTGTGAATATATTGCTGTCATTTATGTTCACCAAGATGCTAAATGTATCTAAATATAGCAATGTATCAAGATAGCAAAATAGTTTGATGCCCTTTGATTACTGGAATGTTCCTGAAATAAACTAAATTGCATAAAATGTGCACTTGTGTTTGTGTGAGGCGTGCTAAAGTTAATTACTGTCTCACTGTGGATTTAATAAAGCAGCACAGCTTTATGTCACGTGGTGCCACCACAACAAAACAATGTAGGGAATTTTATAATCATTTTGTGATGATAACTTTATAAATTGGTATTTTTT